CATTTAGGTGGAAAATTATTGTTTTATCGTATATAAACAGTAGGGTTAATATTTTGCAAAATCATTACATCAAGCAGTTTTTACAGTTTAATTGACTGTGACTTTCTAGTCAGAATGGGGAAAATAGTAAGTTAGAGCAAATTCTCAAAATCCTCTGTCTGGCTGCTAGTCAAAAAGGGATAAAAAAGTTTGAAAAAATTAGTTAGGGGAAAAAAAAACTCCAGTACAGACTCAGGCTGTCCCAGAGCACTTAGTGCTTCAGCTGCACTGCCCTGTTAAGTGCTTTCATTATGGGGCCAATTTTTTGAAGTAAAATAAATTACATTGAATTGTGATTGTGATAAACAGATGTGTGTCAGATTTGTAGAGGCTCTTATAATTTTCTTCATTCCCTCATTAGTGATTCTGTTCTCAATACTCCTTTGCAGCTCTATCCAATCTTCTGGTTTTCTTCTGCCATGACAGTGTTATCCTGGGACTGATCTATTTTTATAGGTTTTTATAGTCCTGTGTTTTTCTTTCCTGTTGCCAGATACATATTTTGCATGGATTTCAGAGACCATGTGGCATGACCTCGTTTGGCTTTTTTGGATTCCTGGATATTCTCTGGACAAAGGTCAATGTGCAGAGAATGGAAATACTCAGAAAACTGGAAACACTATGGCTTAGTTTTTGGCTCTGCACTTCAAATGTGTAAAGAGCTTGTTAGAATTGTAATTGTCCTTTGGATGGTAATGGCCAGACAAAGTCCTGTGGATCTGGAAATTTTATCTAGGGCCAACTTCTTTATAGTGTAATTTTGGACTAGTCTGACTTGCTTAAGCCTGGGCAGATGTTTCCTGCCTTCTAGTCAGAGCAGTGAGCTCGTGTGCTGGGAATCAGGGACAGGACAGGGGGTGCCCCTGTTCTGCCCAGGACACTTCCACCTCCATAGCCTGAGGATGTCAGGTCACCTCCATCTCATCCTGCCCTTTCCCCCAGCCTTTGGCCCTCTCAGCTGGGCACAACTCATGCTGTAACTGCTTGTTGTGGCCCTGCCAGCTTCAGCTGGGTGTGTGGACGCTGCCAGCTGGGAATGCAGTGTGGCTGACTTGCCCCCATGTGTGTCCTCAGGATGGGTGCTGGGACCTGGTCCCAAAACTCTCCTGTCCAAGGCACAGGCTCTGACATTGCTCATTCCTGCACGTGCAAAATGCTTGGTGTGACATTTTCAAATGTCATCCTTGCTGTGCTCTTACTGGTGCCAATTTTCATGTGGTTTTGGAGAGAGTAGAGGGAAGGGATCCTATAGAGCAGTTTTGGAAAGTCTTGCTTTGAGGTTTAGCATCTTTCCAAAGGGTTTTTGGTTTTTTCCAATGGCTTTTGTCCAGCAAATATTTTCTGAGAAAATTGAAACAAACATTACTCTCTGGATGTGGAGCCCTGTGACATTTTAAATATTCAGTGCAGTCAGTAAGACTTTATAGTGACAAGGTTGTACTTTCTGCATTTGATCATTAATGATTTATGAAAATTCATTAAACGGAGAAGCACAGTTCCCTCTCAACTGCAGTCTGGAGCCTTCTCTCTGTGCAGACTCATACACTCAGAAAAGTCAAAAGTTGTTCAAATTCCTCTAAAGAATTCTGTTTTCCACACATAGTCCTCAGAAAAATATTTGTTGAGATAAGGGAGGTGTATTTAGTTTAACAAAAAAAATCCCCTTTCTTTTTCTGTGGTGTGGCAAACTGGAGTGTCCAGGCCCAGGAGGGTCCCATTACTTGCCTTTAGTTTTCTTGCCTCGGGGTAAATGACCTGGACCTGACAAATTTCCTCACAGCTGAGCCTTTCTCATCACCTGAGAGATGTAGCTTCTCAGGGAGAGCTGCATTTGGCTGTGCTGGAAAATCCTGTCACCTTTGGATGGTGCAAACAGTCCTTGAAATTAATCCTAGAATTGGAAGAACTTTTGTTGTTTTTCAGCCTCTCATCCTGCAGCAAAACTGATGTTACTGTGTTTGATATTAATTGGGTAGTTGAAGACAATAAAGATTATATGGCTTGTCTTCTGCCATAGTCTTCTGATGATTTTGTCTTGTATACCTTCACTTTTTGTTCCTGTACAAGAATCAGTGCCTTCTTATTGGCTTCCCCTCATCCTCTTTTTATGTTCACACAAAACTGAGAATAAAACTTACAGAAAAAGAAATTACAGTTTGAGTTTTCAAATGTGTTTCATGTGGGAATAGCCACATTTATCCAAATTAGATACATTGATTTGGAAAGCATATTAACCATCTGCCATCTGAAATATCAGGTTTGATTTGGGTATTTCAAGTTTCATGCCTGATATGTCCACAATCTCCTAGAAATGTAGGATTTTAACTTCTCATAGAAATAAAAAAGTGGTGTAAAAGGAATGTGTGTTACACATGGCTTATATTTTTAAGTGTGAATAGCTTTTACAGGAATTAATCTATTAACAGATTCCAGTCAGTTCTAACAAGTTTGTTACAGTTTGCTGTAAAATGCAATGACGTTTTGTGCTAAATCTAAAGATTTCATATTTAGCTTTAGATCATGCCATCATTTAGAGTGTGCATTAATTAGTGTGATTGGTTAGAAACATGTTGCTGTTCCTGTCTTTTTTTCAAAATGTTGCTTGAACACAATTCTCTTTGTGTCAAGGTCTCTCATCTAGTATAGCCCCTGTTGAATGTGAGTGAAGAAATATGTCTTAGCAATTTGACTTGAGCCTGTAATTTTGAATCTGAGACAGCAGCCTCTGTGGCAGAGGGTTATGGCTGTCTCCCTGACAGAACATGGGGACTTTTCAGACACAGATGTCATCCTGCCAGGGGTTGCAGGTTGGGTCCTCTTCTTGCTAGCCACCATGCCACTGCTGCTGAGCTTGGCAGTCCCTGCTGTGCCACTCTGTAGGCTCCATGTGCTGGCTCCAGAGGTTGTGGTGTTGATTTTTTTTTTGTTTGTAAATTGCTGAATCCCTGCAAACTCCACTTGCTGTCAGCGCTTTGTGTCAGTTCATGTAACTCCGAATTTCAGATGTCACACTGGATTTTACCCACCTGCATGTTGCTCCACATGCCATATTCTTTCTGTGACTGGTACAGGTCAAGACCACACATTTGTTGCTTCAGTGCATTAATGATCAAATACCTGCTTTATTGACCCCCTCGAGGTTCATTACTCCATCACTTAGTTATAAGCAATTAACCACGTGAGTGGATCTGATCCTTTTCCAAGCTTCTCTGTTCTGGCTGCCATTGCCAGTAGATCATGGATGAGATGGACAAACTCCCGTTTTAAAGTACTTTTTCCTTCCACACAATTTCTTTGTGCCTGTCTTGATCTCTAGCAGTGCTTGGTCGTTCTGTTTTCATCACAGAGAAATTGATCTCATGAGATTCCTGCATTACCAAGTGAAGGGTTTTGCAGAGGGTTTTTCAAAGTTTCCAGGCTGGCTTCTAGTGTGAGTAGCTTCAGTAGGATTAAGTTAATCTGCATGAATGAATTTTGTGTCTCAGACTCAGATCTCTTTGGTCAGCTCTATAAAAGTACTTTTTTTGTGTAGCACTCTATGCTAAAGCATTACTCAGCCACTCCATAATACTGATAATAGTACTAGTCTTGAAAGAGCAGACCTTCAAAAGAGCTGGGTGCACTTTTTTCTTGTTGACTTTTTTGGGAACTGGGACTACAGCACTCAGCCTATAGGATTGAGTCCAGATGAAACTCCAGACAGGCTTTCATGCACCAGTTGAGCACTACTTGGTTGGCAATTTTTTTTTTCCTTGTACCTAATAACTGGGTTGCCTCAGTTCTCATGAGAAAATCTCTATTTGTGTTGTCAGTGTATGAGAAAATTGAGGGTGTGGGTGTAACTGGGAGTGCCCTATTGCCATGTCTGTATATCTGTAGTTGTAAAACATGATCTATGGCAGCTCGAAATTTAAAATTTGGTGGCATCCTAGGAAGCACCTAATTGTGCTTGTGCTTCATTACAAGGCTGTCTCCTTTCCTGGAATCTATTTTAGCTAATTAGTTGGAAATGTCAAAGTAGTATTTCAGATGACAGAAACATCATATATTATCATACATGAAGCAATTAACTCTTTTGACAAATATTTATTGTGGTGTCATCTTTAATTAAATCTTCAGGACTCCCAGACAGAGAGCAGGTTCTTCCAAAAGAGAAGAGGCTTCCCAGCACTGTCAATGAGTACTTGACTGATGGGGCTTAATTGAGTTCAGTACTTGAAAGAGTTGGTGGCCTAAACATAAAGATATAGACCTGACACAATTTCACAATACAGATGTCTAAAATTTTGTCAAAATCTCAAAACAATTACCCCTTTCCAAACTGTGTCTCAGACACTGCAAATGCTTTATGCTGGAGAAGATGTATCTCCAGTCTCTCCTGTTCTTCCACTGGAATGGTTTGCAGGAGAAAAGTGTTGTATGCTTGTGCTGCTAAGAAAAATAATACTGAAAAACAGGGCTGTATATATTTTTCCAAAAAAAATCAATTTTCTTTTATTTAGTTCTTGGGGTTATTCATGTGGAAACATATTACAAGTGTGACTGTTTGGTTAGTTCCTCTTAAACAGATAGGTCTTGTAGGTGATGTGCCACTGAGAAATAATTCTTGACAGTCATAACTGAACCAGATAAACAGTTCTGCCAGCTCCCAAATAACACTGTAAAACAAAAGGGTTCTGCTTATCGTTTTCCATTTCTTCATGCCTGTCAAACTATTTAACTGTGCATCACTCCTCACAAAGGTTCTCTGTGTTTTTCTGCTCCTCCCTGCCGTCATGGTTTTGACTTTCTCTGTTGCTGAACCTACTGTGGGACACTTGTCTGCCTGTATCACTCCTCACCCGCCGCTGATCTTCGCCTTCACCCTTGCAAAGAGTGGCTTTGGAAGTGCTGTGTGACATTTTTCCCTGTCAGGCCATGTATTAAAGTGTACTAACCTGTACATATGTTTTTATTTTTAGCAGGGGGAGGCAGCACCCGAAAGCAGCCGAGATGTTGCCAGTGCTCAGATCGGCTCAGGGCAGCCCAGCTCGGACCCCACGGGCACGGCCGCGCCCCAGAGCGTGGTGGCTCCAGCCGGGGTCTCGGCAGGCACCTCGGCTGCAGCTTCCTTCTTCATAAGGTACCTTCTCTTTTTCTGGTTTCCATCACTGCTCGTGGGTCTTCAGACAGTTGGGAAATGGTATTCAGTCTTTGCCAAGGTGCTGGTTGCTGAGGGATGGAGGTGGTCACCTGTGGCTTTCTGCTGCCGCTGGAGAGCAGGGATGGGATGGGGACACCCTGATCCTCTGTCTGGGGACCTGGAACCTCTGTTGACCAAAAACCCAAGGAAACCTGTGTTGGGCTTTGTCTAATCCTTAATGGCCATCTTCACCACAAGTCTGCTATTCTGTAGGTTTCCTTGGAGCAAAAGCTGAAGTAACAAGTCTTTGTCTCTCAGATCTAGATTAAAAAAAAGATTTTTTTATACAGTAGCATGGCCTATGTGTCCAAATAAAAGTTTTTCCATGGCTGGTTGAAACAGTTAAAACAGTTTGACATTCTTCTTTTAGCAATAGCCCACAACAGTCTTTTTTTTCCCCCCATTCTGGTGTCTTATAACAAGAATATGTTAGTTTTGTTTGGATGTTTGTTGTAATTAGCAATGTTGATTAAATGTAATACACTGTCAAGCAGATGGTACTTAAAACAACAAAACTCAGGGCTTTGTACTTGCATTCCAACTCCTTTTTTAATTCTGAACTGAACATATTTTGAGACAATATTGAAAAGCGTATGTCTGTGAATGGCACTAAAGTAAAATTTATACAGAGAATCCCTCGCAGAATGTAATCACAATGGTAATTGTATTGTTTCCTTTTCATTGGTCTTTAAGATGTTTTGTACCATTAAATAAATGATGTTTACTGCAAGTTACAATCTGACCTCGGAAAGATCTTGACTTTCCAAGTTGTTTTTTTTTAAAAGAACATAGTACAATGATTTGGAGTGTCAAATGCCTGTGTGTCACAGTCTGTCTGTACACTGGGGCTGGGAAATAACTGCCCCAAGAGCACTGTATGTAAGTCAGGGGATTGTCTCTGTGCTGTGGGTTTAAATCAACACAGAGAAACCATGGCCTGCAGGGGATGATTTGTTTCATTCAAAGATAGGTATCTGAAATAATCAGTGGGAATGGAAAAGAAAGGTTAAGGTAGAAGCTCAGACATCTCTTTTCTTGTTCAGTTACCTAAGCAAGGACAATGCATCCTTTCAAAAAATATTTAGATAGGACTGCAGCACAGCTTTTGTTACTGTGTTTCATATTGTGGGTATGATTTTAGCTTAATCTACTTTGGATTTATTTCAGTGTTAATTCGTATGTCATAAGAAAATTTTTGGAGGCAAAGATTTTTCCCTTTCACTGGGGAAGCCAGAAAATAAAATACCTTCCTTGAAACTGAGAGAAAGAAATCAGTTCCTAATAGTATAAAACAAGAACCAAAATATTTTCTCTCAGTGATGCTTTTGTCACAGGTCAGCAAAACTCAGTTCTGTTTTTATTGTGAAGTGAGTGTCATTGACTTAATTCAAAGATTCTTGAAGTCAGCAGCAAGACTGCAAATGACATCATTGTATGTTGGATCAGGCCCTAATTGCTTCTCATGAATCTGTCTTTGCCTTGAGTGAATCAGAATTTTATAGCTTTAGCAGCTCTGTGCTGGCTAAAACATTTAAAAACCCCATTAGTACGTTGCTTATTCCCTACCCATGTTCCTATATTCAGAATTGATTCTCTTGAATTTTTTAACTGATGGAAAATGGAAACAGCTGATGGAAATTTTTGTGCACAAAGCACTTTTGTTTCTTATCCTGTTGTTGCTGAAACACAAGAAAAAAATGTCACGAAGATTTTGTGGGGGAGGGATATCCATCATTGATCCCTGGCGCTTGTAAATAAGTTGAGCAGATTCTCAGATGGGTACAAGGGCATGGCCAGGCTGTTCCCCCAGCTTTGCCAATAACCTCAGGAGAGGTTCCCACTGTTCTTCTCTTTTGACTCTTCTGCCATCCATTGGAACCTTAGGATCAACGTTTCCATGCTGAGTCCTCCACCCTCAACCCATGCAGTCCTCTCAGCAAGAGGGGAAAGGAAGAGGAGGAAATCCTCAAGGATGAGTGAGAGATGACACAGATACTGGCAGAAATGGCTTATCCAGGAACCACAGATATTAGGATGTCATCAGTCTCTGGGGGGTTTTGTTTAGTAAATGGGCTCTCAGGCTTCTTTGCTTCAACTCTTCCACTCCTGTCTCCTTCCCTTTGCACCATCCAGCCTTGAACTTGTTGATGAAGAAGGTCATCCCTGCCTTGACTCTTTTGCAGCAGCATTCACTTGTCTCTCCTGCATCTCTCTGGCAGCTAATCCTCTCTCAAGAAGCACCTGGAGATGAAAGAAGAGTCATGGCTGCAGTGTCATTCTGTAGTCCCCATTCATTGTATTTGCTGGGTTTTTTTTCCATACTGGAACTCCTCAGCCACTTGAAATGTGAACTTCATAGCAAGGCCAGTGTGTTACTCACATTATGCAGAGCCTGGCAGATTTTGTTCTTGTTCTCTACCGGAATAAATGCAGTTAACATATTGACAATCACAGAAACATATATTTATATTTTTGCAAATCATTGGCTTTTCTTTGACCAAGTCTACTGAGGACCTTCAGCTGTTTACATCCTCCTTTTGTAAGAGGAGCAGTGGTTGAAACTTTGGCTTGTTAAAAGGGCTGTTTTGCCTTGGGAATAAAGTTGCTAGGCAAAAATATGCCTATATGTTAATGTACACAGTATTTGGGTGCAGGATTAGTTACTTTGGAAGGCAAACTTCATAGGGTGCTTGTGGAAACCGCATCTGTGATTTCCTGAGCCACAGCAAGACTAGATACATTTTTTTTTTTCCACATGAATAAAGTATTCCAATCTTATTTTTCATAAAACAGCATTCACTGTGTTTGTACAGGTCCTAGCACAACTAGCTTTTGGGTTGTGACATGGTTTCCACATGGTTGCCACATATAAATGCTATTTTCACATTAAAACTGGAGTTTCTGTTTGCAGAAATAACACCCTTACACTCTTGCTTTTGGACTGTTTTGTGCCTGGGAAGGGAGATCCATGCTGGATTTATTTGGTTAGTTGTTTGTTTGGTTTTTTTTACTCGAGTTTGCTCCTTGATGAGAATCAGCTTTGTGTTTGTAAGGTTTGTAACTCTGAAGACAGGACAGAGAGTTCATGTCGTCACCTGGAAAACAATAGCTAAGAGATGCAACAAAAAGGATACCTGGTCATAAGAGGTCCCCATGGTTAAAATTAGTATCTTTAAGATATTCTTTGCAGGGAATGCACTGGTTTTTTTAAGCATACGTGCAGCCCAAATCTGCATATTCATCCAAAGCTCTTTCTCATTTGAATGTCATATTTAATTTCTTCAAGCTTAATTATGTTCTGCTCTAAAAAAAAAAGTATTTTATTCATTACCAAGAAATGCAGAGAAGCGCTAAGTATTCGAAATCAAAGCCAAATATTAAAGACGGCAGACAGAAGCGTATTAAGAAATTAAATCAGTTTTAAGCTTTTTTCTTCACTGTGATCTGTCACCGAAGGAGGAAGGCTTTGATTAACATCTGACTGTGTCACGCAAGCAAATTGCCAGACATTACTCAGTGGTTGTGTTACCAGAGGATTTAGCAGAAAATGGAGCTTCTCAGTAGGTCACTGGCAGAATGAGAAAGCCAGGGCACAAAGTAAATCTTAAGTTCATGGATGACTGTGAAGAGACTCCCAGTTCACCCTTACATTTCAAGAGAAGTTTATTCTTGCATTCTTCAGATTTAAGAAGAATGCAGCTGGCTTTGTCCCTTGGTATGGCATGAGCTGTGCCTTGCCTAGTGCTCCACACTTTACACCTGTTTCCAGGTGGGTTTTTTTGTATAAGGAACCTGAACAAACTTTATATTACTAAGGGGAAATATGTGAGACAGTTGTAGGACCCTTCTGTGGGCTATGCTTGCAGCTAAGTAAATATTGGCATATTTTGTTATAAAGCTGTAATAAGCTTTATAGCCCATTTGGGTTTTCTTGTCACGCGAACAGCGGGGAAGAGAGGAAATGGTGTGTCCAAGATCAGGCAGGAGAAGGGCAGCAAGGAGGAGAATGGGCATGCACTTGGGAAGAGGTTAATGGGCTCTCTGACAAAAAAGAAAATACCACTCCCTTGGGAGAAGAATCAAGACCCCCAGCAAATGGAAGCTGTCACCATTAAGGTGCCATTTCTGCCGGCTGGTGGCTGGTGACAGTGGTGGCAGCAGTGGCTGTGCAGCTGGGGGTTGTGGTGTTTGGACAGCAGGGATACCTGCCCTCAGTGCACCAGCTGGAAGGAAGGTTTGAGCAGTGACAGGGCAGCGAGGAGGAATCAAAACTGTTTAGAAGGAAATATGTATCTAAGCAAGCAGCACTGAGCAGCACTGAGCAGAAGACAAACTGCATTAAGTCCCTCTTCTAAAATTCTCACCTTGTTTGATGTTGATCTTTTCAAACTGGTTTGCTGACAGGGTTGCATTCTCTGCTTTGGGACTGGTGCCTTTGAAGGGGGAAATAACTGTATATTTGCAACTCCTTTCCCTTGTATCCACCTGCTTTTGTTTGAAAAATTAATCTTCCAAACATAGCACTGACTAGTTCTCAGGTTTCTAGTTATTTGCGATGTTGCTGGGCTTTGCTAGATTAAAACTATTTAAGATAATAAATCCAGAGAATCACAGTGGTGAATCACACCCATTATCTTTCCTCTCTCATCATCCTCCTGCATGTTTGGAAAAGCTGTGTCAATTTAGGCATGATATAAAACATTGCACATGATATGCTTTTTGAAAGCAGATTTTCTTAACAAAATATACAATCTCTGAGTAATGTAATTGAACATCTGAAGAGTTAAAATAAGCGTAGTTGTCTTTTACTGGAGTCAGGATATTCCATCATATTTTAATGCCTGTGAATTTGGATTAAAGAATCTAATTATTCACTAATGAGCAGTAATGGTACATATAAACTAAGGGTCACTATCCTATTACAGGCACCTGATGGTTCA